GAGAGAGAGAGAGAGAGAGAGAGAGAGAGAGGGACAAGAGACTAATATACACAATACAAAATAATAAAAACAAATCTTTACATTGAAAAATATACAACTAAAAACTTTAAAAAGTAAGTATTTGTAACACTGGAGGTCTGTGCAGGAGTTTCTCTTAACGGCAGCTCTCTAAGCAACAAGAAAGTGCTTACTGTTTGCATGTGTCAGACATACTGGGAACAGCCTGGCACCAGTGGCATCTTGTGGTGAATTATTTAGAAATAAAATAGGAAAGTATCAAGCACATTCACAAAGGCTCTGCCTGCCACATATGTGTCATGGAAAAAAACAAAAAAAAAACAAGAAACATGTTACCCAAACAACAGGTGTGGTCTGCATGCACCAGTGAAAGGAAAGCGAGAGCAGCCCCAGTGTGAGGGGAGAGGAGCAACCGAGGGTGTAAAATAGTTAGTGATCGCTCTCTCTTCTTCCCTCTTTCTTTCTATCCCAGGACCTGTGCTCCTACCACCGAACCACACCCCGGCTGCAGCGATGTTGCTTTTCATTTTTTATGGCATTTGACATGTTGCAATGAGCTTGTTTTCCTGAACGCTTGCCGCATCTTTGAGTGGAGAATACATGGTCGTGGTGAAAAACTGAACAAAAGAGGGTGCAGATAAAAGCACTTCGCCTTCTCCTCCTAAGAAGCTGTCATTCTGCTGCACAGAGAGAGCGCCATTGGTGCCAATCCCTCACACTCCTTCCAGAGATATTTGGCCCAGCACTGTATGACATTTAACATTGGAGTATGGAGGAAGTTATTCCCAGTGTACAGAAATACAGCGAGTTCCCCCACCCAAGCCCATCCCCCACCCCCTGTGTAATATTACATAAACATAGTACTCAATAATGTTAGACATGGGTGAATGAACCTGCCTGATTTTGCATTCAGGTTCCTTCCACCACCTCCCTCACCCATAGGTGTCAACCCTTAGACTCCCTACCCTGGGGAAAGGCACCCTGTTGGCATCCACGCTTCAAATCTGGACATGCCATGCCCCATTTCTTATGATCCACCAGGAGGCTGGGCAATTCCTTCATTGGGACCTCTTGGTCCGGCCAGCCTGTGACCCAAGGCCTTCCTGGTAACCGCAGCTTCAGCCATGCAACCCTGCAGCAAGATTACTTCCCTTCCCACCCTTGTGGTCTACAGAAAACCACAAGGCATCAGCCACAAATCACCAAGGCAGGGAAGAGTCTCATGTGAATGGGGCTGGTCTGAGCTCACCCCTCAATGTCATCTCCCAAAATGAAGTCTTTAAGAGGCTAGGTCCCTGAGCCCCCTCTGTGAGCCAATTAACCACAGTGCTGTGCACAGAGTTACTAAAAGATGGGTGGAAACATATTCACTGCTGCACCTGGCACCTGAATGGGGCATGAACTGGGTTTCCTCTCTCAGAAGCAGCCTGCCTTGGGGTTATACCTTCCTTCTAAACATGCCCCATTCTCAACACTTCTTCACACTCCCCTCAGTTCTCATAAAACCTCCATAGTAGAGCTGGTGAAATGGCTCAGTAAGTAAAGTACTTGCTTTGAAAGCATGAGGACCTGAGTTTGGATGCCAAGAAAACATATAAAGCAGGTGTGATAGCACATTTCTGAAATCTCACAACATCTATCAAAAGATGGGGGATAGTGACAGGAGAATCCTGGAACCTCACAGGTCAGCTATCTGGTATACCTGGATAGCAGTCAACAACAAAGAGCAGACCCTGACTTAAGCAAGGTAGAAGATGGGGACTGACAACCAGAGCTGTCTACTGTACTGACCCACACACACAGACACACACACACACACACACACACACACACACACACACACACACACACACGGGATAAAAAGAGACTGAAGGAGAGAGAGATTAATTTTTTTTAATTGACCATAATAGCTCTCAGAAAGAAAGGTCAGTTATGCATCTGTTCCACAAATAAGGACAGTAAGACTGAAAACCATTCAATGTGCCACCACCGCCCTCACAGGTGACAGGCACTGAAGTCAGGCTTTGAACTCTCAAGCGTCTTTCTCCAAGGCCTGTGTACTCACCTACGCATCCCTGCCAGCTTTTTAGGGAATAGAGAAGCTTGACTGTGCACACCAAGATCCCTCACCCAAAGGCCACCACTGTTCCTGTGTCCTGTGTGTCTCTGGGATTTTCTTGGCCCAGTGTTGTAGATGACAGAGCTCTAGGAATCTGGTGCTGGACATTCAATGCACCCAGTCAGGAAATGCTGGCCTGGCAGGGTCTGGACCAGTTGTCCTCAAAATGGATGAAAGCCTTGGACTCTCAAGGCCCTTGCTCCAAGCAGGCTGTACTTACATGCTCCCACCTAGAGAGGAAATAAGGAGGATAGGGGAGATTACCTTCTACTCAGCCTCCTCCAGTAGCTGGGACTTCTGGAATGAGCAAGACCCGAGAGAGGACACATTTAAGGACCCTCCTTCCCGCCCACTTGGCCCCTCAAGTCCTTGCCCAGGAAGTTCGCGTGATGAGCTAAAACAATATTTAAATGTGGGTGCAGCATAATCCGGACCTCTCCTCCACAAAGGTTTGAAGATTAGGTCTCAGGCTGTCTGTTTTGTTCTGTTCTGAACTGCAAGATGGGCCTGTGAACGTTTGTGTGGCTCTTAGCCAGCCCTCAAAAGAAGCCAGTGTTTGCCCTAGGCGTGGGGGCCATTGAGTGATTCAGCCTGGCACAAAACCTCATGCATTTCCAAAGTGATTCTGCCAGATACTGTTCCATGAATCCCCTGTTATGTAAGGTCTACAGTGGGTGTGTTACAGTCACGAAGTGTGTGCACAGCACCCAGACAATGCATGTCAAAAATTCACATTCCCCTTCTGTACTGCCACAAGCAAGGAACTAGGGTCCCACTGAGGCACAAACTCATAACATGCTGGTTGGAGATTTCTGCAGGAGTCCTCAGTAGTGTGTCAAGCTGTTCTCTCAAAGATTAATAGAGAATGTGGCTAGAGCCCACCAGGAATTTCCTCTCTGTGATCACCCGGGGAGGACAGAAACTGGAAGTCCCTTCTTCTGTGTTTTAAGCAGTGTTCTCTGAACCCCTGGGCTGCACCACACTGTGGGGTAGAGGTTCACATGGACCACCACAGCCAGCCACATCCCATACCTGCACTGTCACCAGGGCTTCTTGGTGCCCCTTGCTACCAGGCTGCCTTGCCCCCTTCCCCACCTGCTGTTCTCTCTGAGGAAAACAGGTCCCCACCGTGGCTGTGAGCCACAAAGACTGCTCTCCCTGAATCTGCAAACCTCATGACTCTGCTCCAATGTCATATCAAATAGCACCACTTTGTCCTCTTCAGTCTTTTCCTCCAGGCATGCTGTGTCTACAGTTATGGGTAATAAGATTATAATGGAGTTGGAAATTTCTATTGTCTGGTGGCTTTGTGCCATAGCTGCAGTTGTAGCAAATCATAACACATACATTACAGTCCCTAATACCTGATGCTAACCAATGACTGCTATACTTTCTATACACTTTATCATTATTTCAAAGTGCATTTCTCTAATCATAACAAGAAAAGGAAAGAGAGAAGTAAAACGGTGTGCCGTGTGAAGCCAGCAGATGCCCCATCTATATCATTGTTTCTACATAATTTTTTTTCTTTTTGATCTAGTTTTGTGTTATTTGTTCATGGTGAGCCTGGGAGCAGTGGCTAAGCTGTGTAGTAGGTCCACACCAGCTATGTGCATTTAAATGTGTTTTATAATGTACACACAGAGGCAAAATTGCCTGCTGAAAACATAACCTTTTCATTAATTGACACATAGTAGTACTTACACTGACTGCCACCTGTCTCCATCTCTGGCCCTTCCTCACCAAACAGAGCTGGATCCACTAACTGCTGCAAATCCATGAAGCGGATGCTAAGTAAACATCTGTTGGATGGTGAAATAAAGAAAACATTTAAAAATAATATGAAATAGTGATGGGAGTGTGCCTAGAATTCCGAGATGAGGGACACTCCTGGGTGGAGAGGGGCTTTCAGACAGGAACAGCAGACCAAGGCAAGATGCAAGAGACAGAGCAGTGTGTCTTCTGAAGATTGTCACTGATATAATGTAATGGGTCTGTGGCC